GGGAAAAGCCCTGAGTTCAGAAGACTCAGGTTCTGGTCTGAGTATTACTGCTTAGTATTTGCTGTCCTTGGACAAGTAACAGAATGTCTCTAAACCATAATATTTTCATCTGGAAAACAGATTATACCCCTGCAGTTCATACCAAGGTGTTGTAGGGATCAAATAGGGTAAGAAGCTGTTGGGAAAAACACCAAGGACAATATAAAGGTAGAGGCTGGACGATCACTATTTCCTTTACAACATGAGGTTAATCTTTAACATTTATTGTACATTTACTATTGATAAGAATATTGGTATTCTTTATGTTATTTATTTATTTTTAAAAATTTTATTTTTACGTAATCTCTACACCCAGTGTGGGGCTGGAGCTCACAACCCCAAGATCAAAAGTTGCATGTTCTAATGACTGAGCCAGCCAGGCACCCCTGGTATTCTTTAAAAACTACAAAACCAGCAAATAAAGGACCGGTTAAAAGGAAATAGCGATGAATAGAATATAAAAAGATGGGAGTAATAAGTTAGTATGACAGGTACCACATAAATGTGAATTGAGTGGATTCCTGAAAGATACACTCTCAGATGGGATTAAAACCTAAATGCTGTTTATAAAATACACCTAAGACAATCAAAAAACTGAAGATAAATGTCTGGGAAAACTTATAAAAGGTTGATTCAAAAAAAAAAAAATAACGTCCTGGGGCCATGTGAAGAGCGGACAATCCCAATTTTAATGATAGAAGCATGAACAGGATTAAAGCAGTTATTTGACATAATGAAATAAGTCAAAATGGGTCCTAAAGCCATAAACCAGGCATATGAAGCAAAAACTTATAGAACCATGTGACAAGGTAGAAAAAAAAATCAGAAGCAGGAAATACATATGTACACATAATACATAAACATGTATTTTATAAATGTTTATGTGTACGTCCATGTGTATATTTCAGATTCTGATAAAGAAAGCCAGCACAAATTGATAGCACAAGAAAGACTGAATAATGCAAATGACAAGCTAAAATTAGGGGGAAAAAGACTGAAGTATTTAACTTAGTAAATCTAAAAAAGAATTCCAATAATAGTAACTATTTTCTATTAGGTACTTATCATGTGCCAGGCATTGTTTTTAGAATGTTACAAATATTACCACATTTAACTGTCAAGCATCCCTCTGAGACAGATACTTTATCTCTCTTTATCTTTCTTATCTTTAAGATAAGGAAACAAAACAGAGAAGTAAAGTTACCATATGAAGGTCCTAGAGCAGTGAAGTCTGGAGCCTGGATTAGCCCAGGAAATCTCATACTGCAATATCCAAAATACTCAAAGACAAACACTCAGTATTCAAAGAGAGAGATGTGATGATTTTAGTATAGATAAAGATAAAATTAATGAATAGGAAACAAACAAACCATTAAATACATACATACATACATACATACATACATACATACATACATACGTAAATCTAGCAAGTCCTTTGACAAAACTGCTAGAACATATAAATCCCTGGCTGGTCTGATTAAGTTTAAAAGAGAAAAAGTAAAACTGTCCAACATCATAAATGAAAAGGGAAATTTATCATCATCATTTGTTACATCAACAAATTAAAGTAGAAAGGTTTCATGAATGTATCAATAGCTGCCAAAAATTCCAAAAAGGAATTTGACAAAATCCCACAATCTTCCCTTACAATAAAAACTCTTAAGCAGAAAAAAAGATATGGAAACTACCCAAATATAATTACAGTCTATATACCAAAAATCTACAGCAAATGCCTATAGATTGCTGAGGACAAGACCTTTAAAATCAGGAACAGGAGAGATGCATCTCTATCATGATGATTCAATTTTTGACATTTCTAGTGATACCACAGGACATGAAATAAAATAAATTATATAAATATTAGAGAAGGAGAGACAAACCTATTTGGAATTTGCAGATAACTTAATCACATGCCTAAAAGTTTCAAGAACTCTTCTAAAAACTATTAGAATTAATAAGAGAAGTTGGCAAAGGGACTGGATTAAACATAAATAAACAAAAAAGCTTTCCTCCGTATCAGTAACATCAGGGTGAAAACAGACATGGAAAAGAATTGTATTTTATTCAAATAGTGGGAAAAGCAATAAACAAGACAGGTCCAGGTTCTTTATGAATAAAACTATAAAGTCTTTTTAAAGTATGAAAAATAAAAATATAAAATAAAATTCAAAATCTCATTAAAGAACATAAAAGCTACACAGAGTCATTGCTGGAAATGCACAAAATGGAAGAACAAATGTGTAATAACAGTCAATATATTTTCAAAGAAAAAAACCCAAATAACAAGTAGAAAATATGCATTAATAGGCTGTAAGATTAAAAAAAAATGTCTATGATCAAAAAAGTATGGCATTTACCTAGAAATAGATTAACAGGCCAGTGGACCACTACAGAGAATCCCAAAATCCATACAGATAGATCCTGGGGAAAATAGCCATGGTGACATCTCAATTCAGAAGGAAAAGGAAGTTCTATTTAAAAGATTGTGCTGGAATAACTGAACATCCATCTAGCAAAGGTGAAAGCTAGATTCCCTCCCTCATACCACACATACAAATACATATCACAAAAATTAAAGCTTAAAATATAAAAAATAAAAGAATAAAAATATTACAAGATACCCCAGGAGGAGAATATTTATATAAAATTGAGGTGGGAATGACTTTCTTATATAACCCAGATGCCATAGGAAAAAGACATACCTGATTACATATTCTTGTATCTTTGTTATCACAAAAGATAACAGACAAAAAAGAAAAATAAGGAATTGGAGAAAATATTGGCAATATGTATGATTAAAAAACGTTTAAAATCTGATATACAAAAGGTCCTCCAAGATGAGAAGAGATGACCAACCCTTTAGGAAAATAATCAACAAATAGTAACAAGCAACTAATGTGAATGAGGGGAAATGCAAATAGTTCATAAAGATATGACAAGATGTTTGATATTGTTAATAATAATAGCGTGGCCAGTAAAACAAGGAGCTCTCAGGGGCGCCTGGGTGGCTCAGTCAGTAAAGCATCTGACTTCGGCTCAGGTCATGGTCTCATGGTCCGTGATTTCGAGCCCCACGACAGGCTCTGTGCTGACAGCTCAGAGCCTGGAGCCTGCTTCACAGTCTGTGTCCCTTCTCTCTCTGCCCCTCCCCTGCTCATGCTCTGTCTCTCTCTCTCAAAAGTAAATAAACATTAAAAAAATTAACACAAACAAACAAACAAACAAACAAGGAGCTCACATTTTCATCCAACAGACTGATGAAAATTAAAAGGCTTCTGGATATCTAGAGCCAAGGGAACAGAGATTGCCCATATAATGTTGGTGAAAGAGTGAATCCCCATAGGTTTTTGAGAAAGTGATTCCCAAACAATCCACTTTTAGGATTTAGATCTACAGAAGCAAATATCCTAGAAAACCAGGCTGTATTACAAGGGGCAAAACCGAGAAATAACCCAAATGTCCACCAACAGGAAAAGGGCAGCGGCAACTAAGCTACATTCACTCGATACATTTATTTATTTGTTTGTTTGATTATTTATTTATGTATGCTTATTTATGTATTTTGAGAGAGAGAGACAGAGCAAGTAGGGGAGGAGCAGAGAGAGAGAGAGAGAGAGAGAGAGAATCCCAAGCAGGCTCTGCACTGTCACCACAGAGCCTGATGTGGTACCTGATCTCACAAATTGTGAGATCATGACCTGCGCCAATATCAAGAGTCAGATGCTTAACTGACCTTAACTGACCTTAACTGCCACCTAGGCATCTCAGGCATGTATTTAAAAGAATGGCTTTTAGCCACATTGACTGATCTAGAGTGCTAGATTTAAAAAGCCAAATTGGGGGCACCTGGGTGGCTCAGTCAGTTAAGCATCCAACCCTTGATTTCAGCTCAGGCCATGGTCTTATGGTTCGTGGGATCAAGCCCCCAGTTGGGCTCTGCACTGTCAGTGTGGAGCCCGCTTGGGATTCTCTCTGCCCCTCCCCTGCTTGTTCTCTCTCTCTCTCTCTCTCTCAAAATAAATAAATAAACATTAAAAAAAAAGAAAAAGTAGGGGCGCCTGGGTGGCGCAGTCGGTTAAGCGTCCGACTTCAGCCAGGTCACGATCTCGCGGTCCGTGGGTTCGAGCCCCGCGTCGGGCTCTGTGCTGACAGCTCAGAGCCTGGAGCCTGTTTCGGATTCTGTGTCTCCCTCTCTCTCTGCCCCTCCCCTGTTCATGCTCTGTCTCTCTGTGTCTCAAAAATAAATAAACGTTAAAAAAATTTAAAAAAAAAAAAAAAAAAAAAAAAAAAAAAAAAAAAAAAAAAAAAAAAAAAAGAAAAAGCCAAATTGATGATAATGGAAGTAACGCAACATGATTTTTTGTTATTACAATGGAAAACTAACTAAAACCACATTCTGCATGTTTTTCCAGTTTAATTCAGATATAATTGACATATAATATTGGGTAAGTTGAAGGTGTACACTTGATTTAATACACTTATATGTTGCAAAATGATTACCACCATAGTGTTAGCTGACCCCTGTATCATGTCACCTAATCATCATTTCTTTTCTGGGGTGGAACATTTAGGATTTACTCTTTCAGCAACTTTCAAGTATATAATACAGTATTATTAACTATAATCACAAAGCTGTATATTAGATCTGCAGAACTTCTTTGTCTTATAAGTGAAGTTTATACAGTATGACCAACATCTCCGCATTTTCTGCACCCTCCAGCTCCCGGAAAAGCATCTACTCTGAGTTTCTATGAGTTTGGCTTTTTCTGATTCCTCACATAAATAAGATCATACAGTATTTGCCTTTCTGTGCCTGACTCATTTCATTTAGCACAATGTCCTCAAAGTCTATCCATCTAGTTGAAAATGGCAGGATGTCCCTCTTGTGACTGAAAAGTATCCGATCATATATATGTACCACTTCTTTATCCATTCATCCATAGGCAGGGACAACTCACCATTTTTCCCGGACAGTTGCTGGACAAGGTGCTAGCCTCAATGAAGTACTTCCTGAGGAGATGTTTGCTGGGGTCAGGACTGTCCAATAAGATGTAGGAACAGAAGAAGGCCCCATGCCGAAGCAGGAATATGGCGATGTCTTCATTTCCTAAAGGACAGAGAATGGGAAGCTAAGGTCATTCAGATGTAGAGTGTGGCACAGCTGTCCAAAATGGCGGACGCTAATATGTGAAATGGGAATGCAAAGGGTAGTTGTGCTGGTGGAGCTCCTCTACTACTTCCCTTGAGGCGTCAAATTCCTGTTAGTGAGAGACTTTTTGTGGGACCCTGACCTGTGGTGTGCCTCCTACTACAGTCCCATTTGCCACAGTTGGTCCCTGTCACTGAAATCCCCTTGCAGGGGTGAGTGGGGCAAATGAGGGAAGGTGCAGACATCTTGAAAAAGAGGCAAATAATGGCATTTTCAAATGTCTCCATACAGGCTCTTTAAGAGCTATAAGTGAGGGTGAAGCCACCATCCCACATCTGGAAACTTTGAGGCTTCCCATGGGCAGGATTGGCTGGGGGACCCACCTGACTTGATGGCCGCATAGAGGGGCAAGCGCACAATGACAGGAAACTCGTTCTTCCTGACTGCGTAGCTTTCCGGGTCGGCCCCGTGTGTCAGGACCAGGAGCTTCACCACCCCCAGATGCCCTCGTTGGCAAGCCAAGGCCAGCATCCAGTTCAGCAGCCTCTGGGGGCTGCAGGGACCTGGGAGGAGATGACAGGACAAAGGGAAAGCGTCACTGAAGGGTTCTGGTTTTTCCCACTCCCATGTCCCCTTGGACCATTGATAGAGCTGGCCTGTCTCTAGCTGAAAGTGCCTTCTGTCAGGTTGATGCTGCTTTCTGGAACAGTCCCTCTGAATTGCATGGGACACTTTCCCACATCATTATAAACCCACTTGCTCATCACATAATGCCAAAGGAGAAAAAGCAGCATTTGAAACAGCACATATAGTGTAATTATAACCGAATAAAAAAATGTATGTGTGAAGTAAGACTAAAAGTTACCATCCCAGTGTTGCAGCTTTGACTCTGGGTAGTGGGATTATGACCATTATTACCCTCATCCTTCTCCCCATCCCCATCCCCAGCAATAGCATTACATACAGGGACATGGGCTTTGGAGACAGGCAGCTTAGGGTTAAAACATTTCAGCGGTGTAATCTTAAAACAAATTTCTTCGCCTCTCCCTGATTCAGTTTATGCATTGCTAAAATGTGAATAATAACACTCACCCTCCCAAGTTTAACGTGAGGGTTGCATGACATAATGTATGTCAAGTGCCTGGCTCAAAACATTCTAACTCATTATATGTCATCATGTTTTTAGAGTACTAACACTTTACTGCATTTCGAAAATATCTGTAAGACACATACACTACTTTCATAAATGAAAAGAAAAAAGCTATGATGAAAGAAATAGATCTAACTATCCAGCCTAGAATTTTGAGAATTACTCCCTGCAAGAACCACCTACTTAATTCCAGAACGAAGTAACATTTAGCCCACTGAATGAACAGAGACAGTGTGGGCTAAAGTGTTACAATATCTTCAAGTTCAAAGGAATGCAATGCCTTTTAGATGTAGCTACCATGGAAAAATGATCTCATCTTCCACATTGACACTTGCCAAGTGCACTATAACACTGTCTCATTTCCAGAGGCTGAAAGTCCTTAGGAACCAAAGTGGTCCCAAGCATGGAGATGGGGACCCTCCCCTCCATGGTAAGAAATTGACCAGGACATAGGGGTGAGGAGGGGGTGGAAGAAATGAAGATTCAGCACAAAGGGCATCTGGTGCAGTGCCTGGGCTACAGCAGATGGTAAATAAATGTCCCATCTTCTCCCTCTGGTAACTAGAATTAACAACTCAAAGGAGGTGGTACTTGAACACATATTAACAAGTGATCCCTAACTCATTTACCGCCAGGATATCTAGAGACGAGAAATCGAGTCATCATGCTGCTAACTGCTGTTGAGGATGGATGTACACCAGTCTTAGGAAGCTGTATCAGCCTATATTTCAAAGCTATGATTTTCAAATGAGGAACTCAAAGCTCAGAGAGGTCTGGGAACTTGCCAAATGTCCCACAGTAAATGGCAAAGTCAAGGATTAAGCCATGCAAAACTAAAAGGTTTAAACATGTGAAACCAAAGGGTTCTTTCTGAACCATATGAAACCCCTACGTGTATTTTCTAAAGTCCCAATCCAGTGATACTCAGAGAGAGCCCCATTTTGGTCTCCATCTGGCCTCTTCCTCCCTTGCGCTATCCCTGCTCAGCTACAGAGACCAGAAATTACATAATGATGTACCCACCCCCTGCGAGCCTCGAATCTCCTCTTCTCAAACCCTCCCTTGTTCTCTAGTTGTGTCTTGTGTGTCTTCTGGTCTTACATTACTCCTAACAATGGCTGCCCTCCCCTCCAGTTTGGGAATTCACAGGGACACACACACACTGTTCCGCCCATCTCTGCACTTCCTGCAGGTTCCAGAACAATGCTCTAGACTCCTTCAGTCCTCAGCAACTCTGTCCCTAGTTGAGTTGAAGATAGGATGCCCCAAGAGCAGCTGAAAACAATGCTCAGGTCCAGCCATGCTCAGGCCCCTTCTCTGCAAAAGTAGGCAACCTCAGCCCTTCCTTCTCTTGTCTGCCAACTAAACTCCTACTCACCCTGCAAAACCCAGCTCAGATGTCATCTCCTTATGAAGACCCTGCCCTGTGCCCAGACAAGACATCCCTTTGTGTCTGTGTATTTACACAGACCACTGTGTAAATACTTCAACCTCAGCACAGTTATACTGCACGGAGTTACTCCGTTCTGTTTTGATTTCCTCGGCTTGACCAGGAGCTCTGAAAGAGCCGGGACCACCTTTTGAAAGTCTCCATGTCTCTCAAGTTCCTCAGTTGTAACAAATGTATGACACTGATACAAAGTAAAAATAGCAGGGGAACTTTTTGCAGGGGGGTATATGGGAATTCCCTGTCCTTTCAAATCAGTATTTCTGAAAATCTAAAACTGCTTTAAAGAATATAACCTTTTAATTTTTTTTAAAAAAGGGACATAGATCCACATTCCTTATCAAATATGGCATGAGAACATTTACCTCCTGAGCTAAAGGGAGTGAGATGTGGGATGTGGTGTTGCCATTGGCAGGAAGTTTTGACTTTGGTTGTCAGTTTGATGCCCCAGATTTCTGGAGCTCCTGCTTTGGTAAAAGTGTGAAGAAACCAGCATTTGGAGG